AAAGAAATGAAAGCATAACTCTTTGCTCGCTTGCAGCGTCTCTTAGTCTTTTATTTTAGCCTGCCTTGTGAATATCTCTCGGGTGTCTATGGCAGATCCGATCAGTCTCGTGATGAAGAGAAGTCTTTTCTGATGTTGAAAGGTATCATCACGACAACTAAATTTGTCCGGTAAACTACTCGGGGCTCCCCATGGTTTAGTAAAAAGGAGGGGATATTTTTTATTCATCCGGGGGTTCATTCATTATGAACTAAAAAGTGGTTGGCTGATTAGTGAGGTCTTAAAAACGTCATATAATTCATGATCGGCCATTCCATTTTTGGTTTTAGCAAGTAGGCGACGCAAATCTATGCTTTCTATCTTTCAATCGGATACCAATTGCTTGGATGCATTTGAAAGCCTCGAGATGACTTGCAGAATAAATTCTTTCTAGGTTTGTCTTATGTCTCCGAAACAAACGGTCCATTTATTGATGGGCGAACGACGGGGATTGAACCCGCATGTGGTGGATTCATAATCCACTGCCTTGATCCACTTGGCTACATCCGCCCCTACCCCCGCACAGGTTGAAGTCTCTATCTACGATCAAATTCTTTCTGAACTCCCCTATGACCGCTTATCAAAGAGAAGTTTTTTCCTATACTATAGTGGCAAGTCTATTGTTGTGTTTCGGAATTAGGGGAAACAAAGCTTCAATAAGTAGAAGCTTCCTGGCAAAGCTTCAAACAAAGAGGTTGGGCTGTTCACTTCATTGATTACTTTACTTAAGATTAAAGATAGGGGTCGGGCGGGCAGTGAAGGCTCATTTAGTAGACAACAAGCGAGCTGCAAGCACCTACTCCTATCAAAATGGGAAGCAGTAAGCAGAACTTGAACTTGAAGAAGCGAGCCTCTATCAGAGAAAGCCATTGCGCGCTAGCCCCTTGTCTTGTATAGGGTGGAAAACCTGCGCACCCCTAAACTACAAGCTTTCTTTGAAGCCCCTACAACATGGGATATTTGAAGAATCCNAGTGGAAAATCTGCGCACCCCTAAACTACAAGCTTTCTTCGAAGCCCCTACAACATGGGCTCATTCGACTAATCAGTAATCCCTGGGCCTACCTAACACAGATATCCCTAAAATAGGGGATTGGTTGATCGTAAAGCTTAGGCAGGAGTAGGACATTCCATACAAATCTTTCTGATCCGGTAGCTGGTGGTCCTCTCCTTAGAGTCAAGTGGCTTTCAGCTCCTTTCAAATCCCATTTTTCATCGATAGGTAGGGTGAATTCTAAGGTTCCTTATTCCGATTGTAAAGCGGAAGAAGAGGGAGAATGGGCACAACCCCACTAGCAGTCCGCATTTCCGACCCGTAAGGAATGGAAAATGAAAGAAGAATCTGTGTGCACTATTTATGGAGTGGAGTGACTATCCTTAATCTCCTTTTCCCTATCTCCCCCTTTTTTGCCTTCAGCTATTACCGGTGGCAAGGCTTGGCCCAACATTGGATTTGTTTGAAAACTACCAAGGTGGCATTCATTCAATCAAATCTTTTATGCCTATGCCAGCCCAAACTAATTTACTTTTTTTGGAAAGGAAGGAATGCAGGGAAGAAGTCTTTCCTTTACACTGGTTCTTGAAAGCTATCAATCCCCGCTTCTCCCTCTCGCATCGGTTCTGCATCATATGATGAGCTCATGCAAAAACTTTCTCTTTTATTGGAGCCCGATAGGTAGGCTATTATATTGAGTCGAAAGCCTACCAACGCATAAAGGTTCTGATTCGAGCGAGAGCCCAAACGGGTGAGGCGAGAAGATCTTGATCGAAAGCTCCACTGTTCTGAATAGTGAGAAAGACTTTTTGAAATTCAATCAAATCGATTGAGAATCTCATCATCTGTTAGGTGGGCCAACCGACCGACCGAGTTGGGCTGGGTGTCCATGTCACAAAATCTTTCTCTAGCCAAGAATCCCATTATTGATCGAATCGGGGCGAATCCAATTCACTGGCAAAAGAAAAATCTATCATTTTAACACTTAGGAAAAAAAACCTAGAAAAGAGGAAGAGTCACTAAGACAAGAGAGCTATAGGTAAGCAAGCAAGAAGGATAGGTGCAAAATGGTGAGGCAAGGGGCTCTCCATCTCTAGGAATATTGTGTCCAGGATCTGGTAATCTAAGCCTTGCTTCTTCTGGTCGGCTCGTATTAGCCTGTTGTTTATTACAGGTAGTCATTCCCCCGTCCTTTACTCTTTTCAAGGGTACTTTTTTCTTAAGTCACGGTCATGTCTTGCCTCCCCAGTATAGTGACTGCTTCCATGTTTTTCCCGAATTTCATCAGTTCTAGGTTCAAGTGCCTGTTCATCCATCTTCATTCCAAACAAAGGCGAACATCTCCATTGAGTGACTATAATTGCTATGGTTTACAGTCAATAGTTCTTAACCAACCTTTTTTTTATTAATTAATATTAATTAATTCATTATTATATTATGTCTTTCTTTCTGAAGGGCTTGCGATTTATTACACCAAAGGCTTTCAGTGAACTATTGAAGCTATCGAGAGAGTACCAAATGCTGATGGTGACGAAAGTTACCGACTTTCGGTGGACGCGGAGCCAACGAGTTCAGTCGAAGAGCGTAACGAGTGTAAGGTTATAGAAGCCTTCGCTAACTTTGATAGGCATAGCATTGCAAGCAAATAGAGCAGAGAGTTTACCCTTTCTTTCTATTAGAGTCGCGAGCTTGTTGTAGTCGATCCTAAGGGGAGAACCTTGCTGCTTACTTGCTATATCCCCGCGTCCTTGCACGGCTTGTTCTTCGAGCCCTGCTTCTCCCTTCCCCCTCTCCCCGTTCCTACCGTCCAAAACAGGCCTATGGAGTATAGCCAAGTGGTAAGACATCGATTTTTGATACCGGCATGCAAAGGTTCGAATCCTTTTACTCCTGATTATGAACACCCGATCGGATCTGTCAAGAACGAGCTGACGACTACAAGGAAAGCAACTGACTGCAGTCCCCGAGCCTGCAAGCCAAAAAAAGTTTGACTTGAACCTACCTTTTCTAAGAGAAGAGAGAGTAGGGAAAGACAGATGACAGAAAGAAATCCTTCCAACCGCGGAATTGAACACAAGACTGACTTCAGCCATGTTCTTTTATCAATCTCCTGGCCCTTGCTTAACTCCTTGTTCCGTAAACCGGTCGCTGGTAGATCTTATCGGATCCCGGACACGCGAGAGCCCAGCCCGGGAGGAATGCATGGTTCCTTGGCGCTTCATGGGACGGACGTTCGCAGTCTTCCTCTATCTAATCTAACCCTACCTCATTCGCCCAGGCCTGTCGGTACAATAAGAGAACGGGGGAGCTAATCTTCTTGCTTGTGCAGGCGAGGACCGCTCGGCTAGGGTGCGCTAGAGGAGCTGAAAGCCACTTGACTCTAAGGAGAGGAGCTTTGAGTGACATTTTTCTTTGCTCTTCGACAGCCCTAACAAGTCACCTGAAGCTATGCCCTTTGCTTTGCCCCGTCCTGTCTTCCTCCAGTTGCCCCCACCCAATAGCCAATAGGCCGAAAAAGGTTGCAGTCAATTGACCTTCCCGTTATCATCAAACAAAAGACTACCATACACGCATTTTGATGACAAGCTACCCTCACCTACCTCATCTATAGGCATTTCTATCCGCCCGCGCGCGAGATCAGATCGACTACTCTACTACCATCATTCCAAAGGTTTTTTTATTCAAAAGGACGGAGAATAAATAGCTTATTCATAATCTTATAGGCCCCGCACCGCTTCATTCAATTGCTCTGTCATAAAGAAAGGGAAGGAAATCTTTTTTTGATCAATTGCCTGAACTTGCCTTTCTTTCTTTGCCAGGAGGGGTAGCCCAATCACTAATAGATCTCTCAACGGGAGCCTAATTCTGTCTAGAGGAAATAGCTTCGGTGGATTCGGTTGATTAAGTCGTTGTGTCTGTCGATACCCACCTGCTCGGAGTGCGGGTAAGGTCTCACCTGTTAATTGTGTCGTTGCATGATTTTTGGTAGAGCCCCCACCTCCCACGGCTACAGCCAGCACCAGGATCCTAGAAAGGTATAGGCACCCGTTCATTCAGTTAATGAAGTTGCAGTCGGTTCTGATGATTATGCCGTTTCAAGTGGATGTTCAGTTAGTTCAACGATAGATATAGTCGATGGGGTGGAGGTTCTGCAGATACTCGTCTAGCTCCTCATTGCCTCAACCTTCCCCGTATGCTCCCTGCTCTGCCAGTGTGACAACAGTCCAAATCATTTGACGCTTCTTCTCACTGAGCAGCCCTCAACTTCCACTTCAGGTTCGGGGAGCTCCGGCAGGGGGACTTGAGTCTCAGCAGAACCTTCCCTTTTCTTCTCTATCCTTTCCCTCATCTCCCGGGCCTCAACCAAATTTGCTCCATTTTGCTTAGTTGGGGAGTGGAGGTACCCTCGAATGGTGTATGGGCTGTGATATTTGTGGTAGCGGGGGTAGAACTCAAAAGGCTGGCCAAGGTTATGTCCTTCCGAGCAGACGAGGTCGGCTCGATGATCGAGGGCTTGCGTGGAGCCAACATTGCGACCACGGGCTTGGACGTCACTTCAATATTTTTCTACTTTTTTGAGGCCCGAGTGAAGGCATATATGTCGAACGGATTCACAATAAACAAAGGCGATTGAAAAACATAAAAAAAAAGAAATGGGGCTTACTCGTGACGATATCGGGCAGGGTGTCATAGAAAGATGTTTGGGGTAGTGGCTGTAAGTTCGAAGGCATTTTTCTTATTCGAGTGAGGATGTGAATAAGTAGAAAAGAAAATAATTAGGCTTTGAACTTACCTTCTCTGGATGGAAGGGGTGAACAGGATAAGTGATATGCGAAAAGCGATATGCTTTACACGTCCGCTTCCAGGACGTCACGCCCACACGTCTCCTGACTGTAATGGTTGGGCTTGGCTCTGCTCGCCGGTTGTGCTGCGTGAGCCTCCAGATGCCTCCAAGCAAGCGNTATGCAAGCGAGGGTTTTCGGGGTAATCGCCGTGCATCCTTCCCATGCTTCGTGACAACGGCGGTACCCCAAAACAAAGGGGCCAGTCTTCGTCGTGCCGGGATATCCCGGTCCGGATGCCACGAAAATTTAGGGAAGCCTTTTTCTTAAAAGACTTTCTGCGACCGGTGATAAAGAGGACGTCTTTAGGGCTTAAAGGAACACCTTTCTGTTTCATATTGAGTCCTTAGAGATGCGGCCCACTTGGTGTCGGATCAGCTCGACAGGTCACTCAATAGTCTTTCGCGGAGTATCCCCTGTTTTAGTGAACCCTGGGAGTTGTCGGCGGCGCGACGATCTTTATTCCAAAGGTTTACCGAGGTGAAGCTTTTGACAAGTATTCTTTTATTTATTTGTAGGTTTCTCTACTTCTGGCTCTTCCGAGGGCCTTTGTTTGAGGTGAGGTTCTATAGTTTGATGGTTACTTATGTTCTCCTCTACCCTTCCCCGGTAGCTAGGAAAGATTTCTAAATATATTTCCTTCATTCCGTTCAGGGGCACTCTAAAGGCTTTGCAACCTTCAGAGCTGGTTGACAGCCGTCTAGTCAGTCCCTCTCGCTCTTTGATAGACATCTTTCGGTTCTCGGTTTCATCCGACGAACAACTTTAGGTCTTTATTTGGTGTCCTATCCTTCCTTGCGAATTCCCGATTTCTGAAGGAGTAGCTGCCTGTGTCTCTGGCTCTGGGAGAACTTTACCTATAGCTAACCTAGAGAGCTTTACTTTAAGATAGCTCGGGCAGACACTCTTCTTCGAAAAGAGGAGTTGCTTGCCTTACCACACCAATCACCTTAGCACGGGAAGTTCTAGCAATGGGCAGCTAGGCAAAGGAATATTATATAGCAATTTCATATTCATTTGATAAAAGATTGTGGATCTGTTCTTAGTGAAGACAACCGGATTGGGACGATCAGGTCGGTTGAGGGCAGCAACACACCAATAGGTGGATTGCCATTCTTATACTGTTTGGGTAAAGGGCAGGAGCGCTCTTTCCCTCTCACCAGTACTTACTATAAGGGTGGGGCAACCGGTTAAAACCAAATATCCAACAATCGCTTTCCTTAATGGCTACCCGCTTTCAAGTGAACTGAACTCTTGGACTGGTTGAAAGGGAAATGGGAAACTGTATAAGGTATTTTTCACTCATTTACGGGATCAGTGTCAAAGGAAAGGATTGTTGCACTCTCTTGCTTGAATGTATTGACATTTATGTATGCTTGTTCATTCAGGATTCTTCTATCTATATTTAGAACTAAACTGGATCAACTACTACGGCTTTTAGCCTTTGGAACCTGTGGAACCCTAAAGTCACTTGCCCGTTCAAACTCTTCTGTCCATCCCATCTAAAACCCTTGAATCAGTGAATCCGGGGACATAGACCTAGCCCATGCTTTATTTAAACAGCTAAGATAAGGTCTAAGACCGTCTCTTATTTTCCACATCCTCATTCCTCCTTCTTTCTGGATACTTAAGCTTCTAATGCTACGGAACTAGCTTTCCCAATCAATCAATTTAAATTAATGTGTAGGAACCTGCCCTCATCGAACTGAATGTCTACCCTTCCCGCATTTGAAGACAGACTAATGTTTAAGACCTCCTGCTTTCATGGAGATCCTTTTTTCTCTGACCGTCGGAGATTACCCATATATGGATGAATAACCATGAAGTTCAACAATCTTTTGAGGTAGGGGAGTTGACTGACTGACAAGGAACTGACAGAAGGGGAAAAGAGGAGTGAAACCATTCGACGGAGTTGGAAAGGACTTCGCTAATCATAATAAGGTTGGTCTCACCTTCGTCCGGGGACTCGAACGAGGTATTTTGTGCTTGCCCTATTAAGAGTCTCTTCCATTCTCTCTTCACCAGACAGATAGACAAACAGACAATCCGATAGATAGATTATGGCTTCCTCATTATCAGCAAGCTCCCACAGGTGATGAACTGCTTCTGATTTCTTCATTCGGTTTGTAGCCATACCGTATAGAGTGAAAAATTCCTTTTAATGGGAGTAGCTATATTCAAGCAAGCATTCCAGCGAAACGATCCTTTGACAATGGGCTCTGCCCAACATTGGGATTGACTTTTGAGGAAAATAAAAAAAAAAGATCTTTTTGAATCTGATATTGGATAGGCTAAGCTAGGTGTAGCCCACTCTCTCTACGTTTTTGCTTGAACTTGTCAAGCCCAGGTGCCTATGCGATTATTAAAGCAAGGTGCTATTGTACCAGTAGTGGAGTGGCTTGAATCAAATCGTTTGTCTAGAGAAAGTGTAGCAATAACCAAAGTGGACTCTACTAGAAAGTAAAGATGCTGTATAGGCAACTGACCTTAGAGTAGTGTATCGAACTAAAGGACAGGAGCAACCCATAATCATTGACGAAGAGGAAGGCTTGGAAAGGGATCAAACATATTGAGGATGAGCTTTCACAAAGGCCAATAGCCGATAGCTGATGTCACTAGCCTTAACTTCTTTATCTACTTGAAAGCTGATGGGAGTACGACTTTCTTCAAGGAAGTGTCCCATATGATATTATATTAGTAAAGAGCCCTTGATCCAAGATAAGTAAGCAGATATGCCTATGGCTGGAAAGATAGCGAGCGCTATTCTCAACTTAGTCTCTTAGAGGCCAGCTCGTTGTAACCCTAAAACACAGCGTTAGCAGGGTTGAGCTCCCCCTGCAGAAATACAACAAACATGGGACAGTCGGGAACGATGACCCTTCTCTAGCCTGAGGCCTAAGTTGGACTTTTTCTTTCTGCTACTTGCCACTCCGAAGTTTAGGATTTAGTTTCGAACCGATGGGATTTTTCGAATGGTAATGAAGCTTGCCATTCTGTTTATTTGGCCGAATTCGACTCTGGGCCTGCCCTTTTGCTAGCATTTTCATTATGCTGGTTCAACTACTGTTTATGCTTGAAATATCTAAACACCTGAAATCCACTCTCAGTAGATGCTGCCCCTTAAACAGTGTGAAAGGGTGGTAGGTAGAACTAAGGGAATATTCTTTTTTGGTTCGGTAATGGAATCAATAACTTTCCCGAACAGGGATATAGGAAGAAGACAATAGCCTACAAGCTTGCCAGCAGACTTGCTTGACCTATTGAAATGCCAGTATAGACTTCTGGTAAATGGTCAGCTAGCTAAAGGTCAGCTTCGGTTCTAGGCAAAGATCCGCCAGTAGCAGTTCCTATCCCAGTTCCCATTCAACATTCATTCAAAGTATTCTCCCCTTGCCATACTTCAACCAGCTGCTTTGCGGACTGCTCTTGCTCTTACTGCTCTTTCCTATACTTCTTGCTTCTGATTACTTGCCTTTCCCTCACCGTCATTGCCTTCCCGCTTGATATCTCGTTTTTCTTATCTCGTGCAATTAAAGAGAACGAGACTGGAAAGCCCAAACTGAGCCCGGCGGGAGAATGCTTACCGATACCGAAGCCGTTCCGCTCGTCCCTCTTTCCTTTCGAGGAGGGACTTCGCTTCACTCTCCTTGAAGAAAGCAAGTTTGCGGTTACGTAGATGATAACCGGCTTATACAAAGGTTTGTTTGTTGGAATCTTCTTCTGTCAAAATCTTTTGGGAGGCCTTGGTGGTCTCATATTATTTAAAATAGTTTAGAAAGCTATTCCTACAAGGAAAGGCCTCCTTTCTTTCATCTAAAAGCTGGCTGGTCTCTTTTCATATTCAAAAAAGGAAGGCGCCGCTTTAAAGCAAGTCGCCTAGGTTCTTAAGAAAGATTTTTAGTTTTGTAAAGCGGAATTCTCCTTTGACTCGATCTTTAATTGAAGTATAGCATTATGAAAACTCTTTCAGAAATTCAATAAGTTTCTCAAGGATTTTGAGAAAACCCGACATAAGACTNTCGGCTTATACAAAGGTTTGTTAGTTGGAATCTTCTTCTGTCAAAATCTTTTGGGAGGCCTTGGTGGTCTCATATTATTTAAAATAGTTTAGAAAGCTATTCCTACAAGGAAAAGTCTCATTTCTTTCATCTAAAAGTTGGCTGGTCTCTTTTCATATTCAAAAAAGGAAGGCGCCGCTTTAAAGCAAGTCGTCTAGGTTCTTAAGAAAGATTTTTAGTTTTGTAAAGCGGAATTCTCCTTTGACTCGATCTTTAATTGAAGTACAGCATTATGAAAACTCTTTCAAAAATAGGGTGACCAAATAGCTCGCCCCGTACCATAAACCATACTCCCTTCATTCCAGCGTGTTACCCTATTGCATTTTTAATCTACTTCTAAAAGAACATATAGTATTTTTTTTAAGATAATAATTTAACTTTTAAATTTTTTATTTTATATCTAATGATAAGCTTTATAGCCATGTTAATATTATACGGTTTAAAATCGCAAGTTTTAAAAAATCTTATCGTTACAAAAATGTTATGATTTTTAAGGTGCAAGTTTTAAACTTTTTTTTTTTGGCCTTTCTTAAACTCAATTCCTAGTCAAATAGGATGGAAAATAAAAGAAATGAACTATATCATACTTTCTACTTGCAACAATATCCGCATAAAGGCAACTGTAAATATCATATCGCTTTTGTTACATGAACTGTAAATATACATTGCTAATTTTACACTATCAAATGATATCTACAGAATAATCAATTTCTTGCAATGTGATAAAAATGCAGAACCTTATACTTGAATAAAGAAAATAATAATAAAATATTTGGGAGAACAAGGATACATCTAATACAGTTTCAAGAAGAATTAAATGTACATGTTTTCTATATTAGCTACGAATTACCTATCGCAATTTTATAAGAACTAAATAAAAGGAAGTCGACAAAAATATCTGTCACGAATTTCTTTTAATTCGGAACGAATGTGAAAATCCATAATTCTCTACCATGATTTTAAATCTATGATTATTCATGTATTCTGCAACATATTCTTCCCTTGCTAATCCTGAATTTTTTGGTTAATTATAGAAATAATCTGCTCTCATGCAACCAAGTGAAGCAATATCTTCTGAGCCTGTGCATCACTTCGCGCGTCTCCTTTCAAACTGCATCCGAACTAATGATCTCAAGCTTGGGAGACTCATACACTCCCGACTGATCAAGACGGCATTAACCTTTAACACATTCCTCGCCAACCGTCTGATATACATGTACTCTAAATGCTGTTCCATAGAGTATGCGCAACAGGCCTTTAATGAACTGTCAGACAAGAACGCCCAATCTTGGAACACAATGCTGTCAGCTTACTCTAAAAAGGGTTTCTTTGAGAAAACCTTCCAGCTGCTCGATGTAATGCCTGATCCAAATGTTGTGAGCTATAACTCAATCATTTCAAGCTTAACTCATCACGGGTTCCCTAGAAAAGCTATGGGTTTTTTCAAAAGAATGCAAATTCAATGTGGGAATGAGTTCTTGATTGACGAGTTCACGGTCGTTGGCATGGTAAATACTTGTGCAGGTTTGGGTGCATTGAACTTGTTGCATGAATTGCATGGGTTAGCAACTGTGATTGGTGTGAGGTTTAATCTTGTGGTTTGCAATGCACTTATTGATGCTTATGGGAAATGTGGCAAACCCGAGTACTCTTATTCTATTTTCTGTCAAATGCGCGAGACTGATGTATTCTCGTGGACTTCGCTGTTGGTTGCTTATCTACGTGCGTCTAGAATGGCAGATGCATCCTCACTTTTTGATCATATGCCGATCAGAAATGTGGTGGCTTGGACTGCTTTGATCACAGGGTTTGCGCAAAATGGAGAAGGAGATAAGGCTTTGTGTACTTTTAAGGAAATGCTGGAAGAAGGTATTGTACCCCGTGCATCCACTTACGTTAGTATTCTAAGTGCTTGTGCAGACATACCTCTTGTAGGAAAAGGGAAGCAAGTTCATGGGCACATTTTTAGATGTACATGTTTAATTGATTTGCATAATGTGTTTGTAGTTAATGCTTTGGTTGACATGTATTGTAAATGTGGAGACATGATATCTGCTATGAGATTGTTTGAGAGGTTAGATGGGAAGGATCGAGTTACTTGGAACTCGATAATAAATGGATTTGCTCAAAATGGGAATGGAGTGATGTCTTTGTTCATGTTTGAGAAAATGATTGAAGCAGATACAACACCAAATCATGTAACTTTTCTTGGGGTTTTATCTGCCTGTAGCCACTGTGGTTTATTATCTGAAGGATTCCAATATCTTCATTCAATGGAGAGGAAATACGGTATAGTACCCGAGTTAGATCACTATGCCATCTTGATTGATTTACTTGGACGGAAGAATATGCTTGGAGAAGCTGCGGATTTGATCAAGAGAGCTCCTTGGGGAAGAGACAATATTGGAATGTGGGGCGCACTTTTGGGTGCTTGCAGGGTACATGGGAACTTGAAGCTTGCTAGAAGGGCAGCAGAAGATCTATTTGAGCTAGAACCTGATAATGCTGCCAGGTATATTATGTTATCCAACATCTATGCAGCAGCAGGAAGGTGGGATGATGCCCGTAGTCTGCGAAGGTACATGGATGACAGAGGATTGGTGAAAGAAGCAGCTTATAGTTGGATTGAGATAAAAAATATCAGACATAAGTTTATCACTAAAGACAAGTCCCACAGTCGGTTAGAAGAAATAAAAGAGTTGCTTCTTAAACTTGTAGATCCAATGAAGGATGCCGGATACATATTTCAAATTGAATGCTCATACTTTCTTGTAGCTGATGCATTATCTTGACATAATTGAAATAAGTTGTAACCATGTATAACAGTTTCTAATTTAACAATTAACATGAGCTCTGGTGGTTACCTGCTTTGCTGAAAATTTGGGAAAGGAAAAGTAAGGGAGAAATTTTATTTTTCAAGATATTACTCCATCACTTACACTAAAGATAAGAAACATGATCATAAGATGTGAGGCACTGTAATTCAATCCTTGCTGCTTGAAGCTTCAGAGATATTAATGTTACGAGCAGCAGATAGATCCATCATTAACGTGCCGGTACTCACCTCTTTGGTGCACAGGTAATGTTTCTGTGCCTTGATTTAGTGCTTTTCATTTTGGTAAGAAAAATCTGAATGTTCTTTCACATGAACCTGTTAACTATCACAACCTATCATATTTTATGAACAACTGGCTTCAACGTTGTTCATTCGAAGATCCCATTCCCAGCATCCAAATGTTTCTTAAGGGAAAAATGGTATTGATGCCATTACTGCACTTCTCCTCAATCATGAGCTAGTTAAAATTCTTAAAGTTGTTAAGTGCCTCAACATATCTATATTATTAGAACTATATCCTTTTTGACAACTAATTTTCTCTGAGTCATTGCTATTGATGGTGGGTTACTAAATAGGCATTCCTTGAGTTAAGAGTGCAAAACCAGTCTGCTCAAAGTTCACTGCAGCAATATTAAGAAGCTGGGATAGCCTAAAAGGGCAAATATAAATCATGGGCTAGAATATTTAGAAGGTACGACATGGTAGAGAGACAGCTCTGAGGTATACTACCATCTCTGTTTAAATTTTTACTATGACAGTTTCTGAAGTTCTGGTTGATCCTGGTCCATCATGCCTCTAGCCTTTGCATTTAATTTTGAGAGGGAATATCCATTGTGTGGTTCACTTTTTGTATAACACTTGAAGTAACTTACCTTCCAGACGTGCAATTACCAAACTTCAACTCTTAAATACTCATTCTTCAAATGCAAAAATAACGGCTTGTTAGGTTCTCTTTAAGCGAGGCAAATTTGGTTCTTAGAGAATTGAGATGAGGATTCTGTAACAAGTAAGGGACGATTTGCTGAAGCTTGAGTAATTTAATAGTAGTTTACGTCTATTAACATTTCATAGGGATTTGATATGAGGATTTTCTAATGCATAGGACCATTTGCTGAAGGTGAGTAATTTTAATCATCGTTGAAGAATTGAGGCATCAAAAACCTATGTTATGTTCCCCGAAGCTGCCCTTGCTTGCTGTTATATCCCCAGTCAAGCATCAATTGGAAGGGTAAAAAAGCTAAATGTCTGCAATTCTTTAATGTTGCTCCTTTCCTCCATTGCTCTTCACCTCCTACAAAATCTACAATGCCGATCCCTGAGAACTAGCAGTGGTTCATGGCATGTTTGTTCCATTTTAATGATTTTTATCCATATCATCATTTATGATCCAAATGTGAACCTTTGGCCATTGACGCCGATCATTTAATCAATTTATCTAGGAGACTTTGCTCTAATCATAGACTTTATTCTTATTATTACTGTAATTCATTGTCATGTCATTTTTTGTTTTCACATCTTTGACACTTCAGATTGATAATGTGTAGCTTCAGTATTCATATTAGTGTTATCTTCACAAGACACTCCAATGGTTTAGGAATTTGGTTTCTTTTGATATATAAATCTTGTAGAAGCCTTTAAACTACCTATGCAGGACATGATATATCTCTAACATAACCCTGCTCTTGGGTTAAAGGTGTAGTCATGTATTTTTTCTTCTTTTTATTGATTTTTGTTGCTCACCTGCTTGATTCTAAGGAGCCTGGAGTGGCTCAGCAAGCTGAAGGTAGACTTGGAGGAGAGAGAGTTAGCTTAATGAGTAAAAATGGGCTTGGAGTAGAGCAAGTGGCTCAATGTGCATAATTGAAAGAGAGAAGTCTAGAGCAATGGAGTAGGCAGAGACAATGCACAATTGGCTAGATGTGGAGAGGGAACAACAGCGAAAACGGACTTAAGGGAGAAGGAACGAGAGCTAAGAAAAATCTGGCTATGACTTACAAATGAGAGAATAAGTTTACCAAAGTTTAGCTCTGGAATGTGAAATATTTGAGCATGCACACCAAAATTTAAGGTTATAACCTATAGGTGGAGTAGGCCGTGACTATAATAAATCCATTTGGTAAACCTATATACATCTTTACGCATCCTTTTTTCTCCAACTCATTCTAATAAATCTTAATTTACTTTGTAGCTCCTATTGGCTGGCTTGGAGATCATGATTCCAATAGCTGACCAATATTCTTTTTCACTTTATGGGGGTATTCATGGTAAATTGTACGTAGTTGTTTTTCTTGTACTTTTCTTTTTCCTTCAATTCTTTCAGCTGTTTGATCTAAAGAAAATGGAGTTTGTTTCTTTTCCTTATTTTCCTGTCCAAACAGCCAGATAACGAACTTGTCGATGGCCATATAGTATGGAAAATACGAATAACCTCTCCAGCTGATTGAACCTAACTTTAACCTCTGTCATGACATTGACATATGTTTTCATTGCATGCCCATTTAATCAAACATTAGGTGTCAAAGGACAATCACATATGGGTAACTAATGTAGCCACATCTAAGGCGGTTGAGCCGGTTATTTTATAAAATTTGTACCATACTAATTTTTCGGTTAGTCTATTATGTATAACCAAAATTAGACTTTTTGAAACCGTCCCAATTATGTCGGTTTCTCTATGGTATCGGTACGGTTCAGTTAAATTTTGGTATTTTTTTAAATATCATGTAAAAGTCACTAGTAGAAGTAGAACGCAATAACATACATACTTTTATATGACTTAGCAAAACTGTCCAGACATTTTTACTGTTTAAAGAGTGATGAATTGAGAAAATATGAAAGATGGTCAGAGTATAGATTCATTAACTATTCTACAACAGCGTAAAAGAAACTAAGCTGGGACAAAGAAAATATAAATCACACGAGTGGAAAGATATTAACCAAGTTGGGACTCAAGAAAAAAGTCTATAGAAGATTAAATATTCAAAAAGATAAATCTAAATCATACGAAAGGAAACATATTCAATATATTACAATTTGCTACTCATAATCGCTAGAATACTTTGTGTCTTGCTAGTGAATATGCTAAAAATAGTTTAGTTTCAGTAGGAGTAGCATAATAGGTATGGAAATTAGGATTTCGAGTTTAATTACTTGTTGGCTTGTAACCGTTTTCATTATTCTTAAGGCCAAAGGAGAAATTTAATGCTTTATTATTTTTAAACTTAATATATAAATATATTTTTCACATATAAATTTATTCGGTACGATTCAGTATTTTTTCGATTTATTTTCATAAAATAAAAACCTACCCTAATTATCAGTACAATTAGATTTATATAAAACATACGGTTTTATTTAAAAAAACCTAAAAAACGATTCGGTGCGGTACGGTTCGATCGGTTTAGTCGATTTTTAAATATTCATTGACACCCCTAGCCACATCCACGACAATTTTTTTGTTTGGACACAGAAGTGGTGGATGATACCCTTTAGATTAGTTTTCCTTTTTTAAAAAAAACTTTAGGTTAGCTAAACGCGGGGCTCTGTATTTGAAATTTGAGTATCACTTTCTTTTTAAAAAAAAAACTATCTTTATTTTGTATTTTAGTTATTCTATGATGGATTGGAAATTAAGGATTAATCTATTAACGTTTTTTTTTTCTTTTCAAATTGATAGCTATCCAAAAAAGATGTAATGATTCATGAGAAAGATGAGAGTCTAACAGTACCTTTCAGTTTTAAATCTGACGGTTCGCCATCGCATCCGTCAGGCCTTCTGAGTTCTCCTATATAAGTATGTGATGAAAAGCCATCAAAATATTATGTGACAATTCAGAAAAAGAAAAAAGAATATCCAGAGTAGAAAAGCAAGCAGCAGTGGCAATGGCAGCTCAACCAGTAATCAAAGTCGCTGCGCTCTACGGTTCCCTCCGTAAAGGCTCGTGGCATTTGTTAGATTTTAGTTTTATTGATGAAAATAATATAATTTCTCTTGGTATAGGGACTCGAGGAAAGCATCCAAGATTAGAGGAATCAATTAAAGGAACTCAAGGAAAGCATCCAAGATTGAAGGAATCAATCAAAGACAAGGAAATCAATCCGAGATTGATTGAAACGGAAAAGAAGTATCGAAGATCTTGCAAGATGATCAATCAAGTTGCTATTACTGGAAGGACCAAAAATCAAGGAGTAAATCCGGCGCTATCAAGACCTATAGAAGGAAAGGTATTAAAGTCATTTCATCAAGGAAGAGCAACGGCAAATAACCTTATTCTTGGAAAGAATCAATCTCTTTCCAAGGATCAAATCTCTTGGGTTGGCAAATCTCTTCAGCAACGGCCTCTTACAAAGTATTTATACACATCCTTAAGCCTTAGAAAAATATACTTTGATCGAACCAACTACCCTCTCTTTGTTCTACTACAAACAAATATTGTAGCTCTATTAGATCTGCTGTGTAACAAGTTAGAGAAAAAAGAGAGAAAAATACTGGTGAGACATTGTATAAAAAAAAAACGAGTGACATAGAAACCGAGCAATTGGTGTAAACCACACCATTCACGATTGTACTCCAGAAACTCATTCACTGAAAGAGAACTCCCTTGCAATCCAAGGGGACTGGACTAGGATTCACATTGAATCCGAACAAGTATAAAAATTTCGGTGTCTTTAATTTCCGCACTTTATTTCTGCATCTTAATTTCTGCTTTTCTTATTATCTCGTTATTACATCTAGTCGACTAATTAGAAAACTAGTCAACTAGTAGCTATTAAAATATAAAAATAAATAATTTACCCCCTCTTGTACTTTCAATTGGTATCAGAGCTCGGCTCACACTTTTTCTTTTGCTTAACAGCTTGTGAGAAAAGATCATGGAAAATCAAGTTATTGTCGGAGCACTCTTTCAGGAAGGAACATCGCAAGTGAGACCACCATACTTCAATGGACAACATTTCTCTCACTGGAAAGTGCGTATGAAAATATATGCAAAATCTTATGATGTCAAAGTTTGGA